ACTTGTTGACATGTAGTTCATGTTCTCCATCTCTCTATGCAACTCTACTGAATTACTGATTGATTATGTTGGCCCTTATAATGACTTTATGAAAACGTACGATGGTTGTTTTGAATATAATATATTTTCAATATGTGACACGACAATTATTTTTTAGACTACAGACTAATTTATACTGTAATACATTAGTACTGGTAATTTCTATAAACTTGAACATATGATGTGTTTATGTAACACAAATTTTGAAAATTTCATAACTCTTATATTTGGTATGTTTACAGGTATTTGTGATTTTAGTTGTGTATATGTACATTGTCTGTAAGCTAACAGATAACATGACTTTCTAAGGCAAAAACACTTCCTTTTTGACTCACATACAATAACAGCTCTCCTCCAATATCAACATAACCTATTACATATAGCAAGGGTGCAAAAGTCATGGCAGCCATTTTGTTTGGGGGTGAATCCTACTTAGTAACGCTACCGTGTTACTAATAAATGTATTTTAAAGAATAGTAATAGAAATAGCAATGAATCTTAGATTAGCACTAACATATTTGTACTATAGTGTCTACAGCTTTAGTCACTTACTAAAAAACCAACTAAACAAAGACAATGCACTACTTATAATTATTAATTGTTCCTTTACTTGACATAAATCTCATACAATTGAACTGGAGTATCTTCATTTCCATATCCACTATTCCCACACACCCTCAGTTCAATGTAATCAGTAATCGTAGCATTACCATAATCTCTGAAGAACCATGGAAGACCAGTACCATTACAACAAGGAGCTTCAACTGAAGGACAGTTATTTCCATCCCACAATGGATCAGGAATATAAATCTTATTTTTAATTGGAGTGCTGTTGATACCTGACTCACAATAGTAGTGCTCTCCTATAAATGATGGAACTGTAGTATTTGCTCCAGTATTGCAAGGACAGGCAGAGCCTGAATTGATATTTGACTGATACCCAGCTATATAAGACCAGACATGTTGGCGAGGTGACCCACGTGTGATACTGACTCCATCAATATAAGCATCATTGATATTGTTGTTTGCGACTATAACTGATACCATTTGTTTGGAATAGTTTAGACCTACAACCACCATATTTATTCTCTCTCCTACAAACTCTAATGCCTCCAGTCATCAATTCCTCAAGTCCAGAAGGACAATTTTGTGTAATGTCAGTCATATCAAGATAAGCTATTCTTGTCCATCCTCCATCTTGTCCACACAGCTCTCCCATATTGCAGTATATGTTGCGACTGTTAACATGAAAATAACCAGAAGGACTGTTGGGATAAGCTGCTTTAATATCTTTGCAAGAAACAAGTCGAATGTTAAACAAAGAGGATCCATTCTGTATCTGTAGTAATAGTAGTACATCATTAACAGCAGCAGCAGTTGGTATACTGATATCTTTAATAAGACTAGTGTTCAGTAATTGAAGTAGTTCATCTGTAGACCTGTTGGTATTATTAGCATGTACCATAATCTGTTGAATTATACTATTCATTGTATCCTGTATCAGTGACAGGTTACAGTTAATAGCATTATTACCACTATTAGTGAGGCCAGCACTATTACTGCTTGCATTACTTGTACATGTACTCATGAAGGTATCTTTTGATATTAAGTTAAGTACAAGTATAGCTACCAATAGGAATATTATGATCACCAGTAGAATTATTATTGCAGCAAATGACTTCTTTCCTACAGTATACTGCACTGGTTGTTGAGGAGGTTTGGTATCCTTAACATTAGCTTTTGGTAGCTGATAATCTAATGAATATATCATACATTAGTTTTAATAATAAATTACTTGTATGGTATATACCTGAGTAGTCATGAAGATCTGAGTACATTGCTTCTTCAGTACTAATATCAGTCTTTACTACTGGTTGATAGGCTGTGTTTTGTGTTAGCTTCATTTCTTCATTGAAATCCTTAGCTTCACTTTGAAAGCTTGTAGACATTGTATTGTTTTCCATCTCTTCACTAGCACTGCTTATAGTTATCTACAGCTCTTTATATTTATCTGAGTTTATATTGGCACTACAGCACTTTCATTATAGTGTTTCAAAGTTTCATAGCTTATCTCTGTTTACCTCAATGCTTGTTTACAATATACATGACATTTTCTAAACTACAGACCAATGCTGTAATACATTTGCTACTAGAAGTGCCTATAAATGTTTGGTGTATTATTAATTTATCTAACACAAAGTTGAAAGTGTCCATTAGGCATATCACTTGTGTATATACATGTGTGTACAATTGTCCTTAAGCTAACAGATAACATGACTTTCTGAGGCAAAAACACTTCCTTTTTGACTAACATACAGCTCTCCTCCATTCTCTATTCTTCCTTTTAGACTCGCATTGTATTATAATAGTCCTGCATCCAAACATTACATTACATGACATTTGTATGTGCACTGTATTGCTAATTATGAACTAGTTGATAACCATACTTATGTTTTATGTAATCAATTAATCCACTTTTTGTTTCCAAACCAGTTGCGTTATTATAGTGTGATAGTTTACTTTTAATGTATGTTGCACTGGTTTTATTACCTGAGCCACATGTAGGCATGAAGCAAGGGTAAAGCAGTTGTCCTGTCTGTGCACATTTCGCTACTCTGTCTTCATTGCCAGTATTTGTTTTATTTGTGCAGTTGAATATTGTAAATGTTTTTTTTGTTGTGGAAGCTTACTGTAACCAGTAAACAGTGACATCACAACATTCTGTATATTTGATCAGCATTATTTATTTCTTCTAAAGAAATCTAACATAAATATGTCTAATCATAAAACTGATATTACCAAATAAACTATACACGATACTAATGTTCTTTTATTTGACATAAATCTCATACAATTGAACTGGAGTATCTTTGTTTTTGTGTATCTCTCCTTGGTCACACATGACACACCTCATGCTGTTCAATGTAATCAGTATATATAGTGGTATGAGAAAAGCAAAATCAATAGGATGTATGGAAAAACAATTCTAATAAAGTCAAACAGCAAAAGCCCAAAATAGAACAACTCTTAATGCCATAAAGAAATTTCAATGACAGGTCAGTGCCATAATTCTCTATAATGGATAATCCAAGACATGTGGCTGGCTTTCAATTCAAGCTCTGTGTCTAATAGCCACAGATAGTGGATTGGTTGATTCTGCCAGATGGTATAGTCTCTCTATGACCAGCTTTAGCAAAATCCCAAACCCTCAACACACAGTTTTGTCTACAAAAAACATTACCATCTGATTGGTTTGAAATTCTGAATCTTCTTTAGAACCTGATGCTTTGACAGATAGTAAAAATAGAAGTACAGCATTTGGCGTCGTATATACAATTAAAAATATATACTGTACATAATTTAGCTATGTATATGCAGTATGTTTGTTTGCTGTAAGCATGTTGTATATTGTTTATGATATCTCTTGCTTTCACTTTTGCACTTTTCAATAATAATAATTATTTTTGTCTGTACAGTACTAATGACAATTAATGTTCTACTAACAAAGACAATGCACTACTTATAATTATTAATTAATTGTTCCTTTACTTGACATAAATCTCATACAATTGAACTGGAGTATCTTCATTGCTCCATCCACTATTCCCACACACCCTCAGTTCAATGTAATTAGTAATGGTAGCATTACCATAATCTCTGAAGAACCATGGAAGACCAGTACCATTACAACAAGGAGCTTCTTTTGAAAGACAGTTATTTCCATCCCACAATGGATCAGTAATATTTACTACTTGGGAAGGATCACTGTATATACCTGACTCACAATAGTAGTGCTCTCCTACAAATGATGGAACTGTATTATTTGCTCCAGTATTGCAAGGACAGGTATGACCTCCATTAGTACTTGACCTTAACCCAGCTATATAAGACCAGACATGTTGACGAGGTGACCCACGTGTGATGCTGACTCCATCAATATAAGCATCATTGATATCATTGATGCTAGCATGAACAGCATCAGTTGTTCCCTTTTGATATCCAACCACTTTACCACATATTTGACTATAACTGATACCATTTGTTTGGAATATGTTAGACCTACAACCAGCAGAATCACCCTCTCTCCTACAAAGTCTAATGCCATTGCCTGAGCTAGGGAGCCATTCCTGAAGTCCAGAAGGACAGTTCTGTGAAATATCATTCATATCAAGATAAGCTATTCTTGTCCATCCTCCATCTTGTCCACACAGCTCTCCCATATTGCAGTATATATTGCGACTGTTGACATAATAGTAACCAGAAGGACTGTTGGGATGAGCTGCTTTAATATCTTTGCAAGAAACAAGCCGAATGGAATTAAACAAAGAGGATCCATTCTGTATCTGTAGTAATAGTAGTACATCATTAACAGCAGCAGCAGTTGGTATACTGATATCTTTAATAAGACTAGTGTTCAGTAATTGAAGTAGTTCATCTGTAGACCTGTTGGTATTATTAGCATGTACCATAATCTGTTGAATTATGTGCTTGGTGTTTACATCATGATCATTGATCTGTTCCATTAAGTCATTTATTTTGCTCTGTAGAAATAATGAGTTATTATCCATTGTATTTTGAAGAAGGAGTGAGTTTTGGTTCATTATATCCTGTATCAGTGACAGGTTACTGTTAATAGCAGTATTACCACTATTAGTGAGGCCAGCACTATTACTGCTTGTATCACATGTACATGAACCTTTATTAAGCAACTGTACTATCAGCACACATACCAATAGTATCAGTATGAGTGCCTGTAGGACTATTATAGCAGCAAGTAGTCCCTTTCCTGCAGTATACTGCACTGACTGTTG